GTGACCCATTGCCAGTGCCTATGTTATCAAATATTTATGTTCTTTACAGCTGAACCATGCACATTACCACATATATATCACATGCTTTCCCTAATAATATGCTCTTAATCATGTCCTTGGGATAACCTTCATAACTCGTAATTAATGGAGACATTGAATAGTTGGTGCTCAATTAAGTGTTTTGTGCTGTTATTAACATTAAATATGCATACATTAAACAAACTTGTGTCATAAGTTTAGATTTTTAGTATTTCTTAATACTGAGCAGGGGAATGAATGGGGTGGAAACTTGTCCTTGGTTTGGCACTAGACAGCATTGTCAGGCAGAAAAGGATCCAATATTTTCCTTGCTGTGGGAAAAACCCCAAGTACACATTCTTTTTTTTTTTTTTTTAATTTTAAGATATAACTTACGACTTTTATAAGAATAAAATGTATTTTTAGTTACGATTTTATGTTTAACTAGAGGTCAAATTCTTGTTTTTAATTAAAAAATATAAATACTAAATTATTTATATTAACGACTTTTGATGACAAAAGCAACAATTGGAGCTACCGATTTCATCAAAACCACTATTCCATCCTTGAGGGACAAGTGAAGGTAGATCGTTTCATTTGGGTGGTCAAAATACAGAGAAAAACAACAATTTTAATAGGACAAAGTTGATGTGTTACTTTAAAAAAAAATGTAAAACAAAGAAAACTCCATATTTTTGGGAACCAATTAACCAAGGTGGCAAGACCCCTCAAAATACATACAGCTTCAACTTGCCTCCAGGACTGTAAAAATTGTATAAGAAAAATAAATCCCAAGTCAAATACTAAAATTATGGGTCACATGATACAACTCATATGTTGTCCTTCATGTCCCACGGACCTCCATTGAACCCCATTTCCCCCCTCTTACCCTATCATAGGAAATTTAGTTTTGCCTTTTGCTTTGAACTTGTAGTCTAGATCCAATGATAAAATTCACATCCCAATTGAACTGTCTCTTTCAAAATGGCAATCTAACTTCAACTATCTCAATCATTCTAAATCTTTTTCTGTTTGAAAATCGCTATCGACTGAAAGCACTTTTCTTAGTTTTGGTATGTTCCACCATGTTTGATTGGTGCGTGTGAAGAAAAGCTGTGTGTTCGTTTCAATCTTTCAAGTGTGTCGTTTTGAAATTTTGACCTGCAAAATCTAACCGGCCATAGCTGTCCTGTAGTACGTGACAAGTAACCACGAGTGGTTTACAATTAGTCCTTCCTAGTTGCTGAGAAATAAAGACTCCAGATATCAATATCTGTTTTCAACTGCTTCTTGTCATAAAGAATTTGCAATGCACAAACCAGATAATGTTAATGTCCTTTGAATAGAATTCAAAACATTCCTTGTGATAAATGTCCTGCATTACAGATGGAATAGTTTTTCATTTTACACCCCACAAATATTCTCTATATATCATAGACAACTGGGATAAAACTATTATAAGCAACCATATTCTCTAAGCATTAAACACAAATATGTATTCACGACTTAAATTTGAAAATTTTAATTAAGCTGAATTGAAAACTAAGTGATGTATTTATACAACTGAGATAGCTTGGAATCATTCATTCGATTTAAACTTTAGAAACCAGCAAATATAGTGCCAACCTGTATGGAACAACCAGTGCCAGCAAATTCTGAGCTTAAACTTCAAAACTCAAAACTAAAAAAGCAGTTATTGTTGCCCATATCCCACTTCTCAAAAGCATAGGTAGTCAGAAAAAAATTCTCTTTTGGTTGAATTCATTATCATCTAGGCTAACATGTAAAGAATTAGGTTTACTTTGATGGAATAGAAAGTAGCATTTTATTGCCCTTGTGGGAGCTAATCAATAGCCACTTAGCTAGTAGCTAGGTCCACTCTTTTGGTTGAAAATTTTGGACCAAACCTAACAATTTTAGTCTGGATATGGTACACCCTTTTGCGGGTGTGTGGCTTTCTATGAATGAATATACTTTCATAAAGGCTAGAGATGCTTCTCTATCTCAAAGACACACCGTTATGGTCCTTAGTTCATAAATGTGATTTAGATAAAGCTAGATTTTTTAACCCCACCCTCCATGCTACATGCTTTTCATTGACATCCGTTCTATCACTTTTCCAAAGTGATTGAGTTGTTTCAACACATCTTCTGTTATCTTTTTCTTCTACGACTTCCTACTTCTAGACACATACACCGTGTTCCAGTAGTTTTCAACCTTGGCAGTTCTACTATTGTTGTTTCTTGTAGCCCACGACATCCTGTTGCTTTCTGACCATGCTGCGAATGTGTCGTTTCTGCGTATGCGTGTGAGCCTCATTCATCATTTTTTTAGTATATTTTGCAAAATGTGGCAAATAAAGAGAAATAAAATACGTGTTAATGTTGACAGGAAACGGAATTTCATCGACTAATCTAAGTAATCTTTAACTTTTATTAAATTCGTACGTTAATATTCAAATGTTGATACAAGAAAATAAATTAACAAAACAAAAAGCTTGTTCAAGTATAATAATAGTAGCTGTCATTGGCGTGTTGTGTGTGTGTAAGTTTATCATGTGTCGCTTCAATTTTACGATTATTAGTTTATTGTAAATTATAAAATGGATGGTGCCGCCTAAGGCTAAAATATGCATATGGATTGTATCAGTGATACTCCATAATTATTGCCAGAAACCAAAAACCAAAAACCATGGGAAGAAAGGTTGAGGGTACCATGTGTGTGGATTGTATTTGGAAAGAGGAATGTTAAGTTAGGTCCAATTGTCCAAAGTTGGGATAGTTTCTAATCAAGTGTAATATACAATGGGGTTGAAACCGAGACCATTGTTTAGTACGTGGACTTTAATTTCTTATTACATAGATTGAGCCTACTATATTTTTTTATCAGTCTACCTGGGATACTTTTTTGTTATATTATTAATCAAACAATAAAGTATGTCAATAAAATAAAGAACAATACTTTATTAAAACTAAAAATTAATAACGTGATAGATTGGGTCTGGGAAGTGGGAATACATATTTATCCCCAACAGAATTTACGAAGACTAAAGTATGTCATTCATTAATGAGAATACTATAAACCCTAAGTGCAGAGTCTTGATTCTTGAAAGGATGCTTTTGGCGGAGAAAGACTATAGAAGTTATTTTATCATATTTGATTACATTTTTGTTCAGTGATATTGTAGCGAAAGATCATAATGGCATTCCACGTTGATGAACTTTTATGATCATAATAATTGTTTAGACTCACTGCATGCCTGTATCAACATCCATCGAAAATCTTACCCGCAATCTCAGTGCCACATATATATATAAATTATTGTCATGAAGGAGAACAATGTTTACGACACTTTATCATCATGAAACAGCCATGTAGTATGATTAATTAAGATCAATCAACTTCAACTCAGTACTATTTGCTGGAATCAGAAATTCTTCTTTTACAAAAAAGTTGACACGTAAAAGAAACTCAGAATAGTGATGTTCTATAAATCTTCAATCTAATTCAGATTATGGAAGAATACAAAATGAAATTGATTTTTCTTATGGTGTCACCAGCTATAAATAATTAAGCAGTACACTCTACAATGTTACTCTTATTAACATCAACATGGAATATATATATATATATATATATATATATATATATATATATATATAGCCACGACTACACTAACTATAATTGCAACCGTAACTGCAATCGCAATTTAAAACTATGAATACTATCTTTATAATATTTTATTTTGTTATAATTTAACTTAGTAAAAATTTTGTTATTTCATTATTTTTTTTAATTACGTTATTTCATATATATATATATATATATATATATATATATATATCAATTTATACAATTTCATTCAGTATACCCAATGTTTAGATACAAAAAAATATATCCTTTATAAATTATTTAAATTTTATATAAGAATACATATTCATTTATATTGTTTTAGTGTAAATGGTTTTGTTAAAACTGTTCATACATATGCATTTATTTTTCACGAGAAGATATCAAATGAGAATTTTAATTAACATCGGTGGAAAAAAGAACACTACATGACTCTGATAAAAAAAGAAAAAGAAAATAACAAATCTATCATGATATATTTATACAATTATTAGAAATTATGTAGTTATTAAAAATAAAATGAAAGTGGGTACCAAATAAGAAAATCCTTTTTATTATTAGTATAGATTAAAATAAAAACATTTAATAATAATCATTAAAAATTAATGATTTAAATTACGTGTTTATTGCGTGATTTTGTTCTTTTTATGATAACATGAGATCTATAATTGAATTAACAAAGAAATTAATTTTAATCCAATAATCCAACAAATGTTGGTTCTCACTTTGTATTTTACATAATTATATTTATAATTTTGAGATATATAATTTGTTAAATTATAATTGAAAAGTACACTATTAATATAATTATCCTTACATGTATTACTAACTAGTGAAGTTGAGACACTTCGTACCCCCTATTAAAGATAAAATAAAAAAAAATTAAGTAATAAAAATATATTGATCTAATTGATATTATAATTAGTTCATTAATTTCAAGTTCTTGAATTTTGTTAAAAACATCATTTTTTCTAATTTTTTAAAATAGAAAGATATAATGATTAAAAAAATACAAAAATAATTACTAAAAAATTATTTTCTTTATATATTAGTATAAATATAGATAATATACTTGTACTACAACTTCAAAGAAATAATGAATATAAAATAAATGTCTACTTGACAACTTGAAATCTTCATAACAAGAAAATGTTTATTTAAAGGGCCTTTTTGCAGCATTTACAATTTATTTTATTTAAGAACTTTAAAAAACTATTTGGTAAAGTGTAACACTAATTACACAAAATTTCAATAAAGAGACTTGGAAAATAATAATATATTCATATTCATAAGATTTGGGCTATAAGTTTCATGGGATCTTTGGGCCATTAGATAAAATGGGCTAACAAGAAAAAGCCCATACAGATTCATTGAGGAGTGCGCGGGAAGTAGCTGTTTCTTTCATTTCTCGTTGTCGTTCTGCCGTCAGACACACCACTCTTCCATTTCGTTTTCTCTGCAAATTCCCGTTTCCTTACACAACCCAAAATGGGTATTAAGGTGTTCATCTTTTCATCACCCTATCCCTCTGTTTTTCCTTCAGTTTATTTCTCTTGATATTAATTTGTTAATGCCTATTATTTTCTAGGGTTTAACGAAGCTTTTAGCGGACAATGCCCCAAAGTGCATGAAGGAGAACAAATTCGAGAGCTACTTCGGTCGCAAGATCGCCATTGACGCTAGCATGAGCATTTACCAGTTCCTTGTCAGTACTACCCTTGACAACACGTAGCGTAGTTTCAACCGCGATACTGAAACGGTTATAGTTATGTTAACGTTACGTGTTATGTGTCTTTTATTTTTTTTTTATTGTTGCAGATTGTCGTGGGAAGAAGTGGAACTGAAATGCTCACTAATGAAGCCGGTGAAGTTACCAGGTATATGCAATAATCTCTTAATAGGTTTCAATTACATGAGCTTAATTATGATTTGTTTCATTTTCTTATTATAATAAAATGTTGTACACTTTGTGTGATGATGGTGTTCGTTTTGTATCTTATAGTCATTTGCAAGGAATGTTTTCGCGGACAATCAGACTTCTAGAAGCTGGGATAAAGCCAGTGTATGTATATATTTAGAATTTCTTAAATCTTTCTTTATTTGGAACTCTCTGAGTATGATTTGTTCTATAAATTGTGTATGCTGATTTTTTTTTTCTAATGCTGGTATGAAGTTATGTTTTTGATGGGAAGCCACCAGATATGAAGAAACAAGAGCTGGCAAAACGGTATTTTATTTGATTTTTTGTTATTTCTAGGTAGAAAGTTCTACTTTTTCTTTGAGTGTGTGTGTGGGGATGGGGGTTTGTATTATTTTTAGAATTGTTACTTATCAAAAGTTCCTCAATAATGCTTTTCACACTATAATTGTTACAGTTACTCCAAGAGGGCTGAGGCTACTGAGGATTTGTCAGAAGCCTTAGAGGTGTATGCGTAGTTTGCTGTTGACTTTCCTCTTTGGTTCCTTTTGTGCGTGCAATTTCTTGTGCTAAATCAATATATTCATATGTGGGCTGCTTTTTCTTGTCATTTAGACTGCCACTAAGGAAGAGATTGAAAAAATCAGTAAACGGACAGTGAAGGTAGGTTTTTGTTTCTTAGGTTCATTAATTTGAAATGTTTTGAACATTGTAGAGAAACAAACATGGTTTTTGGTGCATACTGCTGAGTCCATATCTCAATCTTCTTGCAGGTCACAAAGCAGCATAATGATGATTGCAAAGGACTTTTAAGACTCATGGGTGTGCCTGTCGTTGAGGTGACATTGCATTACTTGAGTATTTATTGTATTGTGTGTTTAGCGTCTGGTTAAAAGACTTTGGTCTCTACAGGCACCCTCAGAAGCAGAGGCTCAGTGTGCTGCTCTTTGCAAAGCTGGAAAGGCAAGTTCATATCTGTTGTCTGTTAGATTGTCGCTTTGTTTTATGAACTGGATTCTTGCAAACTAAAATGAAAAGATTGCTACTTATCCATTTTAAACAGATTTTATGGAAACAAAAAGATTGTCAAATATTACTTTAATTTATTTTTTACCACTTTTTCTTATAAAATGCATTTAAATTTCAGTTATGTTCCTTCTTCCATAGCTTTTGGTTTAGATAATCCTTTCTTTTGTTATGCCTTCAGATCATTTTATCAACTAATTCCTTCAAATTAATTGGCAGTATTTCTTTTAATTAAAACTTTCCTTTGAATTGATGTTGAATTTTTTGTATATATATTATAGGTTTATGCTGTGGCTTCTGAAGACATGGATTCCTTAACATTTGGAGCTCCTAAATTTCTTCGTCACTTAATGGATCCTAGCTCAAAAAAAATTCCAGTGATGGAGTTCGATGTTGCAAAGGTCCTTATAGCTTTCAACATGCATGACTTTTTTTTTTTCCCCTGATTGATCTGCTCATTTTGGTATTTCTTTTGTTTCAGCTTTTGGAGGAGCTAAATCTGACCATGGACCAATTTATTGATTTATGCATTCTTTCTGGCTGTGATTATTGTGACAGCATTCGAGGTATATTTTGGCCCATTTTTATTTCTATGATGCCTGGTCTAAGTTGGTTTTATGATTACTGTATGAGTTCTATATGCATATGTATATAATATAAATAAATATTAACGATAAATGGTGTGTCACAGGGATTGGGGGACAAACAGCTTTGAAACTCATACGTCAACATGGCTCTATTGAGAATATACTGGAGAACATAAACAGAGAGAGGTTCTTATCCTTTTAAATTTATTTTAAAAATCACTATTTCTTGTGTATGCAATTTAACATGTATTAATCATATGACATAACCTCGTGGAATAAGGTTTACTTGTTTCTATTTGTTATGTTTGTGCGGCATTACCAATTACAGACTTAGCCCCGGATATTTGGGTCCTTCTAAGTTTGATAGTAAGTTCATTTATATGACAACTGTGCCACAAGCCAACAACTACTTGCTTTTGTAATGCATTCATATCATGAGGGATTTTATTAATATATAGTTAGGCATTAGGCTACTTAATCAAGTGATTGATATAAAATTAATACTTCCTATTGACAATAAAATAACTTACTCTGTACATATCTTATTGTCCTATCTTATGATATTGGTCTTTCATCCTTGGAAATAATTATAGTGAGTGCATTGGTTCAGGTACCAGATACCAGATAGTTGGCCATATCAAGAGGCTCGTCAGCTTTTTAAAGAACCAGTGGTCTTAACTGGTGAAGAGGAACTTAATATTAAGTGGTCTGCTCCTGATGAAGAAGTAATTACTATTATGTTTGAGAACTGATATCCTTTCAAATCCATGTGGATTCACATATACAGACATACATATATTTGTCCTATTTATATATAGTGTTCTCTGGCAAGATAACTAGGTTGCATGATGTTGCCTTCTTACAGGGGTTAATAGCATTTCTGGTAAATGAGAATGGCTTCAACAGTGATAGAGTGACAAAGGTATGTAAAGCACTAAATCATATTATTATGGACTGTTTGAGTAGGGTATCAATAGGCTTTCGTTGCTTCTTCAGAAAAAAATTTATGATTTTTATATGAATGTTAGGGAATAGAAAAAATTAAAGCATCAAAGAGCAAGTCATCACAAGGCCGGTAAGTAATTCTTAAGTCATTGGATGTGAGTGTTAAACCTTTCTCTTTTCATGTCCTGTCTAACTCCTCTTTTTTCTCTTCCTAAAAACAACAGATTGGAATCATTTTTTAAGCGAACAGAAAATCCTTCTGTACCTATAAAACGCAAGGTATGTATCCATTATGTCTATCATCTTCACTAGATGTGGTCATCCATAATTATTTAAATTTTGAACAAAGCCTAGCAGGTTCTTTGCCAGAACATCTGTGGTCAAACTTCGGATTGGCTGTGTCTAATGTAGTTATTATGTTTTCTGTCCCAATTTATCTGCCTGAAACTAAATCAGGAATTATGGTCGTTGCATTATTTTCATCCTCTTATGATTTTATGATGATTATGAAAAAACTCTTCCCTTTCATGAAAAGTCTCACTAACTAACTCGAGTTGAGTAAAAAATAAAGTATATTTTGTGAGACTTTGTTTTTTTATGGTTGAATATCTGCTCGAAAATGTGATGATGAATGTTGTTGGGTATGGAAGAATGCAACTGAACACCCTGATTTGTGTGGCAAGCAATATATTTTTACCATAGTAGTCAATAGCGGCCGGAGCGGCCGC